GCTATCCATACTAAAATGAATGCCATCATTATGTAGTCTGCTGCCTGTGCAGCAGGGCCATAACTAGGCTATAAGATTTAATGAGGCCTGTTTTGCTGAAAAGTAACCATCATACAGTGAATAATACCAATTACACCGACGGTAAAATTCTGCTCCAGGGATTTTTTTAATTAAATCATTGCTCCTTGTTTACCCATCCATAATTGTTATGCACTTTTTCCTTTCATTTGTTCCTTTCCCATACCTCCATTCTTCCATAAACTGCTATTACTGTTCCGTATACTAATTTACCCTCCAGTTACCCTGTTTATGTTTATTTAATTCATTTAACTATTGATTTACATCTTCATTTTCAGCTTTAAATACATGCTGACATTACTAAATCAGGTGATAGTTTCAAAATGATTTTAGTCCATTTTACCAATCCTCTCTCTCTCTCTTGCTCCTTGGTCCTCATCGATTGCTGAAAAAGCACACATTAAACATACATTATAAAAGTCCGTCTCTACCAAACCCCGGCTTATATGAAGCACAGGATACTCATACAATTAGAAAGACAAACTACAGCCCAATGTACCTGCTGATTTTTGAATTATGTTAAATGATACTTTGCCATCAAAATGCTAGTTTACACTGAACTCTCATGCTGGATGTAGGATGCTATGCATAGGTAACAGTACAACTTAAGTTCATCTAATCGCTAATATAGTCTACTAAACACGGAGTCTGTAGCCTAAACAGAGCAGGTACTGGAACTAAAGCATCTAGCAATATTATGAGTGGTCCAAATAACAAAAAAAAAAAACCAAAATATGGAGTTTTACAAGCATAATCTGTTAATTACTCTCATGAACTCTCACATTTTTATTATAGCGTTGTTGTTATGTGTGCTGCATACCCGAACATCTCAAAACGTCAAAGTCAAGGAGTCACGGCTCATCAGATGCAAACATGATAAATCTTCTCTCCCCCTTTAACTAGGTAGGCCTGTGATACTGCGTCGGCGCCTCTGAGTATGCTAAGCTAGCTGTTACATCACTATCAGAACAGCGCTGCTTCTGCGTTAAATCTCATGAGTGGAGACGGGAAACTTTTTTGTTCGTCCTTATAGACAGCGATGGTTACAGCCATAACTTTTAAATGACTAGCTTTACTGACTTGCAGACTTCAGCACGTTTTTTTTTCTCCTCAGTCAGTAAAGCTACTTTTTCAATTTTCACAACAACAAAAAAATTCTATAGTGCAGCTTTAAGTTTTGAATTACAAAGCACTTTGGGAAATGATCGCACAACTGACTCCTTCTTTTCTCACATCCTTTGTTAGTTTTGTCTCTGTTCTGAAATTGTTTTGGGGAAACGAACCACTGAGCATGCGAATGTATTCATTTATAACCACTGCTAGCTGCAGATAATACCTAAAACAAAGGTAATACTGTTAGCTGGTCTCCTATCTTCCTTTTAAATTATTTTATTTTTTCTCTCTATCCCACCACATAGATTAATTTAATGTTGTGCACAGCAGGTGACAATTCAGCAGGTTTTTACCTGGAAATTTGAACACTTCCTTGTCCAGCCATTCCTACTTAGTCTTTTGAAGTTAATCCTTTAAACTGACTTAAACACAACAGAAAAAAACAGATTAAAGAACATCAGAATAACATAAGTGTAGCCTACTATAGATACAAAGCTGTAAATGTCTCTGATGTAAAGAGGGTCTTAGGCTGGGCTTTTGTGATGACACTACTCCAGTGACATGTTCACCTCTTCAGCAATGATGATCTGTACAGGACAAAAAATGTGACTATATTAATAATAGCAATAACAGGACATTCAGCAAAATATGACACTCAAAGACAAAGATAACACTTAATACGCAGTTCTTTATGGGGCTGTCAACAGCGAACAGGAAGCAACGATTTTGTTGCTGTTCAAATACACGTTGAAAATGAGCCCAAAAGGTGCATCAAACAGAACGACTGGCTGTTTCCAAAGTAATGTCTTCTTCAAAGTTTTGGAAAATAACTCCGTTTAGTGTGGATGTATTCAAACACTCAGACTGACTGTGGCCTTTACCCTGTGATACTGATACTCTCTAGTTTGAGCTTTACAGGGATGTAGCCTAGTCTTACATTCAGTCTAACCACTCTTTCATTTTTCTACCGTCCCCTTCCAGAGTACTCGCGCTGCGAGCTAGTCTAAACACCAATCAGCTCCTCTCTGTATTGCTGAAATCAGACAGCAGCGCTCGCGCTTAATGGCACTGCAGGGCCTCAGCAGACCAACCGGCTAACTTTAGCCTAGCTAGCTAACGCTAACGCTAACGCTGGTGATTTTCCTGTCAGACTGACCCGGAGACTGACCTCGCTGAGTATGAGTGCAGAGCTCAGCTCAGACTGCCTGGCTGAGACCCTCATTACTGCTCACCTTTAATGCAGGGTTTACGGTCCCCGTGTAGCGGGTAGCGGTCCTCATTCCACCCGCGGAGTCTTCGGTCTTCAGAGCTGAAATCTCCTAAATTGGCCAACAGCGTTGGGCACAGAGCACCATAGTCTCAGGAAATAAAGTAAGACAGACATTTTGGAGAGATTTCCGTACAAACTCGATTAAAACCCGTTTTAAAGCCGTGGTGGGTCGGTAACGCGGGGGGTACTGAGCGTTAAACGGCTCCTAACGGTCGCGCTTGTTTAAACAGTCAAATCGAACGCTTGGAGAAAGCGCGCGCTGCTGCGTCGAGCCTCCAAGGGGCGGAGTCAGACTGCTCAGCTCCTCCTTTGCCGTGTTTTAATTGGTCGAAAAATGTTGGCGACCTGCCTGCTATTCAAATATTACTTTTCATGCAGACTCTATGATGCATACGTTTCATATAAACATCTCGAAGTATTTTTATTTGGTAACGTATTCACGGTTTTGCCGACGTATTTTCTCCTGTAAAATCAACAAGGTACACAAAGAAAAAATTGCTTAAAAAGTCAGAGAACTGAACTAAATCTATATTATTATCTATATAATCTATAATCTATATTTAATAATTGATTGATTGGATTTAGTGTATTTCAGTCCTGGAACTGCATATCATGACCTATTTTTTATTTTGAAGTGTAACATTTGGGTTAGTTTTTAGTTATTTACATTTATGGATATAACATTTCCACAGATAATAAACCAATGATGATTAAGGATCAATCAAAGTTCACACTAATGTAAGCTTATTTCCAAGGATTTATTAAAACTGAAAGCAGTGTAAGAGCGTGAAAAGTGAACCTGTGAAACAGACTTTAGTCAGTGAACCAGTTCGTAGAGGAGCTGGAACGTCCCACACTTAAGGAGGAGTCCTGGTAGAACAAATTTCACCGTCCAAGCTAGAAAAGTAGATAACTTTTTCGATATTATAGCTCAGTCTGTTCTATTACATGTCTATTATATGTCTGTATTGTATGTCTGTAAATGAAAAACTGTGAGCTGCACAGCGACTCTGACATCACGGTGGTTAGACAGCGTGAAACAGAACTCTATAAACGCCAACAGCGGCCCGCTCTGGGCCAGCGCCGCTTACTGACTGCAACTGTGAGCCGGCACAACGACTAAAGCTAAAAAAAATACTATTTCGCCTCACAACAACCTGCATGTTTTAAAAAGTAAGTTTTAGGCCAAAAACTTCTCAAAACTATCATAAACCAGTGTCTCAGACATCAGGCAGTGAATTCATATCCATTTCATGTAGTAACTTTCTGTGAGGGAGCTTTTAGAGGTGGACGTCTGGTTCCCATCACCACCACTGTGAACAATGTGACTCTGTACGTTTATCTAGAACAGAACATTTCACACCAAACAACTCTGAATGACCCTGTTTACATCTTAATTACGCAGGAGCTTAGAAGTATCTGTGGAATTCCTCTTTAAGACCTTATTGTGTACCTTAAATGAGTTTTACACTACGTTCACCTTCCCCACATATAATTTTATCATTTTTATTATTTAACTGTTTTTAAATAGAATAATAAAATCAAAGCCAGCAGTCAGGACAAGATGTATGGAGTGCAACTAAAAGTGTATATATATATATATATATATATATATATATATATATATATATATATATATAAAACTAAAGGGTATGAAAATGTACTGTTGTACATGTTGTACTGTTTTGTTCTGAGAGGAAGAGTGACTGTGGCGGACTCAGACTGTTTGAAGAGAAGGGGCGAAAAAATACAAAGGGCACCTACAGCACGACATGGGTGCCCCATCAGCAAGCAGAAAGCTATGATGCATCTTGTATGACAAAACAGTCTTCATCCTTAATTAAGATTAGCTTATCATTATATTATTAGGCGATTCATGTTAGAAAGGGAACTACAAACCTTTAAAATGTTTATTCCACAAACACCTCCAAAGTAAAACAAAGAGAAAACTATTAACATTTGTTAATTTGTGTTCGTGCACACACACACACACACACACACGCTGATGTATTAATGTCAATGAGAAAGCTATGATTTGGGAGCTTAGTAGTCAGGAGTAAACACTCTTAAGTTAATTGAAAAAGCAATTGATCAGAACTGTCTATAAAAGCACTTGCAGTGTACACACACATTAGTATTTAGTAATGCATCATTGGTAAAACACATTCTTTTCAACCTCAAAGACAGCTTGCTGTATTCCCTCTCTCTCACACTGTAGTAGGATGTCAGCATTACAGCTCAGACTGTACTGAGCCCCCTTTGACATCTGAACATTCTGGTGAGGGTGTAGCTAAAACTCAAAACTTAAATGGATGGAATAGATGTAAGTCCCTAACAATGGGAGTGAGTATTTTAAACTGTATTGAGTCATCATTGGCAACAATTTACTTTGTCTTTTATCGTCAAATACAGTTAATCTAACATAATCTAACCTAACCTAAAGGGTACATTGTTTAGTTTCTCAATCAGCGCTGTCTTTATTTACTATAATCAAATCATTGTTTAACATTAAATCATTAATTTCTCTGTTTCTCCACAGATAAACACTCTCTGTATTATCTCTACTCTATCCAGTCTAAAAGCTCTACAGACAGAGTCTCTGAGTTCAGTGCAGTGACTCTGCTGAATGACAGACAGATTGACTCCTACAGCAGTACAGACAGGGTCAGGACTCCTAAACAGGACTGGGTGAAGGAGATGAAGGAGAATGAGTGGAAAGAAGGCACTGAAAAGCTGAAGAACGATGGACAACAGTTAAACAAGATCCTCAACATACAGATGGAGACCTTCAGACATGCTGAGTCTGGTGAGAACTTTTTATTTTTAATTTCATGATCTTCATGCAGAAGATTCATTTGAATCTTCATTTAAAACATTGGGTTCAATGACGTTCAGAATTCAGGGAAAAGCTTCAAATTGTTCCAGACTAATATAGGTCTAGATATGTTCTATCTGGAAGTGTCAGTGAAGGGATATTCTGTTAACCATGAAGAAGGAAAAAGGAAAAATAAAAAATCTAAAAACTACTTTGGACTTGGTTTGAAAAATGAGGCTACATTTGCAGGTAATAGCATGCTAAAAATAAAATAAATCCAAATATTTAGCAGCATGCAGAAGAAACATGTTTTATTATTTAAAAATAACTGAGGGACATCAGTAGGTTTCATGTTGGATGAGTAACATATGCTGCATCTTCAGATGAGCTAAAGCTAACAATAAAGCTAACTACTGTAACACTGGGTGCTGATGGAGACTTTCTCCCTGCATGCACCATGTTAGTCTGTGAGAAATACGTTTTCCCTGTTTCTGGGAGGAGCTAACAGCAGATAGAGTAGTTAGCCTAGTTAGTGATAAAGTTATCATAGAGCCAGCTGCATTCACAAAGTGTGATATACATACCTTACAAACACAAACAAAACAGTCACATTCTGTTAAAACATGAAATGTTAGAGTGTCTGATCATTTATATTGGTCTCTGTTCTTCATTTACGTTTCAGATGGTCACACTCTGCAGTGGAGAGTCGGCTGTGAGGTTGAAAAGGACTCTGGTGGTTCGCTGTCAGTGTTAAACTGCACTAATGAATACGGCTACGATGGACAGAACCTAATCTCTTATAACTGGACCTCGAGGAGATGGTCAGCCTCACTCAGTCAGGCTAAAGCATTGGAGGAGGAGTGGAACGCTGGACCTGTTGATCAGACATGTGAAGACTGTGTACACTGGCTGAAGAAGTATTTAAAGTACAACACTACTGAAACCAAACTGAGTGAGTATTTAAAACTATCATTCTCATTATTATCAGTGTTACCAACTTTATTGAGGTGACTGGAGGGAGAATTTCAGGTGATGAGTCCACTGTTACACTCATTTGACCCAACGCTCATAGTCATTAAGATGTAAACCTTTGTTTCACAAACCAGCCCCCAGGGACCCCCAGCCGCTCCACATTTTTGCTCTAACGCAGCTCCAAACACACCTGAACCAAGTCATTAAGAACACTGAATACCTGGTACAGGTGTGTTGTGAACTAAGTAAGGGCAAAACTGTATTTTAAGGCTGTGTCAGAATTGTTTTTACTGGTTATTGTTTTCAAATCAGTCATTTATAAATTTAATTTATAACTCTGCTGTTCAAAGGCAGGGATACCAAAAGGCCTTTTACATTATGTTTATCGTGATTGGCTGTTAATTTTAGTTCTCTATTTAGAAATAAATTTTCCTTTGGATTTTCCCATTGGTACATACTTGCATACAGTTGTGGCCAAAAGTTTTTTTTTGGTTTTCACAAAGTTTGCTGCTTCAGTGTTTATAGATCTTTTTGTCTGATGTTTTTATGGTATACTGAAGTACAATTATAAGCATTTCATAAGTTTAACTTTTATTGACAAATACATGAAGTTTATGAAGTTTCAATCTTTACAGTGTTGACCCTTCTTTTTCAAGACTTCTTCAATTCACCCTGCCATGCTGGATATCAGCTTCTGGGCCAAATCCTGACTCATTGCAGCCAATTCTTGCCTAATCAGTGCTTGAAGTTTATCACAATTTCTGTGTTTTTGTTTGTCCACCCACTTCTTGAGGATTGACAACAGGTTCTCAGTGGGAGTTTCCTGGCCCAAAATTTCAATCTTTTGTTCACCGAACCACTTAGTTATCACTTTTGCCTTGTGACATGGTTCTCCATCATGCTGGAAAAAGCATGGTTCATCACCAAATTGATCATCATCCTTGATACTATTCTTTATTCATGGCAGTGTTCTTAGGCAAAATTGTGAGTGAGCCCACTCCCTTGGATGAGAAGCAATCCCACACATCAGTGGTCTCAGGATGCTTTACTGTTGGCATGACACAGGACTCATGGTAGCGCTCACCTTTTCTTCTCCGGAAAATCTTTTTTCCAGATGTCCCAAACAGTCTGAAGGGAGCTTCATTAGAGAAAATAACTTTACCCCAATCCCCTGCAGTCCAGTCCCTGTTCTTCCTGCAGAATGTCAGTCTGTCCTTGATGTTTTTCTTGGAGAGAAATGGCTTCTTTGCTGCCCTTCTTGACACCAGGCAATCCTCTAAAAGCCTTCACCTCACTGTGCGTGCACATGCACTCAAAGTTGCCTGCTGCCATTCCTGAGCAAGCTCTGCACTGGTGGTGACCAGATTCCATATCTTAATCCATTTAAGGAGACAGACTTGCTGGACTTTCTTGGGCGCCTTGAAGCCTTATTGACAGCAATTAAACTTCTCTCCTTGAAGTTCTTGATGATGCGATACATGGTTGATTTAGGTACAAGCAATGTCCTTGCATGTGAAGCCCTTTTGATGCAAAACAACATTGACTGCACATGTTTCCTTGGAGGCAACCATGGTTAACAGAAGAACACAATGATTTCAAGCACCACCCACTTTTAAAGCAACCAGTCTGCTCTTCTAATTCAATCAGTATGACAGAGTGATATCAGCTGCCTCGTCCATGTTAACACTTTCTCCTGAGCTACTGAGAAGATCACTGAAATGATGTTGGCAGGCCATTTTGTGGCAGGGCTGAAACACAGTGGAAATGTTATTAAGTTCATTTTCATGGCAAAGAATGACTTTGCAATTAATTGCAGTTCATCTGATCACTCTTCATAACAATCCAGAGTTAATGCAAATTGTCATCATAAAACTGAAACAGCAAACTTTGTGAAAACCAAATTTTGTGTCAGTCTCAAAACTTTTGGCCACGACTGTAAATATTACATACATATTTGCATAGATTCATTTAGAGCTCTTAAACACCTAGGCTGTTTGGTGCGGACCAATCATACGTTTTCTTTAGTGCAGTTTGTTTCGGCAGGTGTGAAAGCTCCACCTGTACTGGGGTCTGCACCAACAGCTGAACCGTGGTCTGCCAATAATCACATGTTCGCTCCCAGTTAAACCCGGGTTCAGTTCACTGCTGGTGGGAACCCATTTTGACGATGGTCTGCACCAAACAAGAGAATCCAACACCCATTTTACTGAAACAAGGTCATGATAAGATTTTCCACAAATTTGTGTTACAGAAGTAAACTGTGCCCAAATTTAGGAACTATATCTGTTCTTACAGGGGCTAGTCTACAAAAATGTCTTTGAAACACTGTTCGGTCACCATGACAACTTCACTTAGGACAATAACTTTTACAGAATTACAGTTCAAAACTTCATAATCTTATCCTCAGATAAGAAAACAGTATTATAAACAGCCTAACTAGACAACGTTTCCTAAATATTGTCATAACTTTAGGATAGCTCCAACACATTTCTCTGTTATTTTCATTATTTGTTTTATTTCAGCTGTGCACGGTCAGTTGCTTGGTAATAGACATAACAATTGATTATCCACTTCCATCGAGTGGATTAGAATATCTGAATTGAGGTAAGATGAAATAAGATATAACGTCAGTTCTTAAATGAAAATTTGCTTATGAATTTGTGGCAAACTTTATCTTGACCTTGTCAAATCTTCATTTTGGTCTAAGAACAGGAAGTTTCTGTTATACAGCCTCAGCATCTTGTATCAAGGAAATCCTAATCCACTCGGTGTATAATTGATTATGTCTGTTACTAAGCAACTGATGATGTGCACAGCTGAAAGATAAACAGGTAGTCAAAATAGCATTAAAAATGTAGTTTATTTAGCTGGACAACTACCAGTTTAAATATTTTAAAACTAAAGTGAAATGAATTTAAGTTAAAGTTAAAGACCCAGAACAGTTGTTCAATCAAGCGTCTGAAAAGTCCAGGATCACCAAGTAAAGTATTATATGAAATATTTATGAAAATTCAAACAGCACAGAACGCCACCTGATGCTTTTTATCAGAAACGAGGAATCGACCTTGCTTAGCTTTAAACACTGCAGTTTGCCAAAATAGTAAAAAAAAAGTCAAAAAAGAGACTTACAAACTTTAAATGAAATAAAATATACAAATATATTTATACGTTTTGTATATAAAACAGATATGTAGTATGAGCCTACACTAACCAAATGCTGTCTGTGTGATCATCCACCCACGGAAGTTCTGCAGTACATGCACACATATTCAGAACGTGTTCAAACTACTATAGCAGCACCACACATCGTGTCTGCTCCACACTCAGAAACCTCACTCTCACCAAACTAATGTGATGTTTCGGGCAGGGCTTGAGCTGCACACACGAGTCTCGTTTGTCTGGCTAGAGTGGATGAAATTATATGACCATGTGCATTAAGCTTTTTACCAGCTGCGTTGTTCAACCTCGACAAGTATAGACTTCTCTTCTCCCTGTAGAAGTGAAGGCAGACACTGCTTTCCTCCTGAGTCAGTCACAAACCCCGAAAAGCCCGTTTGATTGGTTTGACCTGTGGAGTTTGGCTTCACAGATTTCTCCTGTGGTTTTATTCTTGATATCATCAGCAATTAGTCGTTGCAGATTCAGAATTCATCACATAACTGTAGTCCAAAGTCGTGCAAACCCTGCAGTGTTGACTGATTCCCATGATAATATGTTTGAGACATCTTTAAAAAATTAAAACAATATTTATGTGCATTTCATTTCCTTTTCAGCTCCACCAGATGTTCATGTGTTTGCAAAGAAATCTACAACTGACTCAGGAATGCTGACCCTGACCTGCCTGGCCACGGGCTTCTACCCCAAAAGCGTGGATATCAGTGTGAGGAAGTTCAGCACTTCACTGCCTGAACATCTACTGAGATCTTCAGGAGTCAGACCCAATGGTGATGGAACCTACCAGCTGAGGAAGAGTGTGGAGATCCAGGAAGATGATACAGCAGATTATAACTGTTATGTGACTCACAGCTCCTTTGACACACCAGTAATTAAACAATGGGGTAATTATATCTGTGTACCTAATGTATTTCTGGTCTTTTATAGTTTAGAATTAGTTTCTCAGTGTAAATCTAAACCCAGTTTAACAGAATGGCAGATGTGCAGAGACTAGACCCAAAACTACATGATGAGGGCAGCTTTAAAGTATTTCCCCACTTTAATCAATATTAATATTGTTGTAAATGTTTTCTGTCCCAAAGAGAGCCAGGAGAGCAGGGTTTGCAGGAATGATGTCTTTATTTGAAGTGTTCTATTAATCTGCTGTAGCCCAGTCTGAGAGCAGTTCTAGCGTACAGTGTGTTTCTCCTGCAGCTGTTGGTAAATCTGTTAAGGATTATGTCAGGAACAGGGGTGGTCTTTGCACTAAGCTCCCCCAGATCATATTTATAATGGACTATTCCATGTTGTTATGTGATAGCTGTATAAAAACAGATTGGTATGAACGAGATAAGTAAATGATCCTACATTATGGAGAGAAGGTTCACTGATTACTTCTGTCCAACTGTAATGGGATTAAGTTGTTTATTACTTCTTGGGAAAACGTAATTTCACTATTTATTACTTCAATTCTGCATTACTCTGTACCAAATTATCTCACTATACTGGCAGATAATTGTTCTTGTTTCAAATATTATTTCTTAAAACATAATTTCACGTAATAAGATACTCGAACCAAGTTGAACATGTGTAGAAACAACATTAATATTTTTATTCTTACACCAATCTCAAAATGAGAAATATTAGATATATCCACTGTGTTTAGGATGATTTCACTTGTGAAGATATCATTTATTGTAGTGTATGTGCATCCAGGGGCCCCGTTCCTGTCTTTCGCCCCGGGGCTCCAGCATCACTAAATCGGCCCCTGGTCAGGATAATATACGTTCAGTTGTAAACACATACAGGCAGCTGTTTGTGCAGTTAGCCTACTAAAGAAGAAAACTGATCTGCTGTAAGTCAAGAAACATGTGCAATCAATAGTTGAAGTAGACATCAGCTAACCATGTGATCAGGCATTGATGTGCTCTCCAGAAATAAGGAGGAAGTAAGTGAATGGTACAGATCCTTTTACAGAGATGAATTAGTGTATCTATGAGTAGTTTCATTTTATAATGATATAAATTGTTTGAAAGAATATGTGCAGGAACCTGCCAGGCAAGAGAAAAATATATAAATGATATTTCCAACGAGTACTTAGTAATAGTGAGTGATATACCTGATCATCTGTATGAGTTTCATCATTTCCTTTATACAGATATGGCACAGTGCCATAAGCCATTAGTGCAGCTAATATACAGACATACAAACAGTGCTAAACTCACCAGTTCACTCACCTCCCGTGTAGTAAAGGTAATGTAGTCCAGTTTGTTAAAGGAGTGTCAGAATGTAAAGAGTTAATGAGTTAATGAGGGGACAAGAGAGTGGAATGACGAGCCGACCTCTTTTGGTTATCCATTAGCTTTTAGCCTAGCCTGGAGACTTATGGGCTCTCCAACTAGAGTGCCCTTCACTCTAAGAGCTGCCCTGGACGATGTCGGGGCCTGGTCTTCTATACATGACGAGCCTGACAGCTTCTCAGCTAATACTGCTAACATGAGTGACTGTAACAGTAACTAAACTCCAGCAGCGCCAGTGTAAACACATATGAGACAAATGACTGAAGAAATTTGGACATAAAGCAAAATTTCACTCTATTTTTGCCAAAGAAGCTGCTTTGTGCTTTAGATACACTCCCCTTTATCTCATTCTGTTTATCTGTCCATATATTGTTCAGTTTTTATTATTTTGTTTTACTTCAGCTGATAAAAGGTTTTTCACGATCCCCCTATAACTCAGTGTGTGAGAGTCTTTCAGAGTGGTTTGGTGTGAAATGGCTCAGATGTCTTTACAGTGGTGGTGATAGGAACCAGGGGTTGCCATGACTACAACACAAATATAGACATTTTATTTACTATCCAGAACCTCCAGTGAACCTACACGAGTCTTCTGAACTTTTATTAAATAGTAGCAAAACAGAAAAAAATAAGTTTCCCTCTGGGACTGTTTTGCCTGACAACGCCCAACATGTATCTATCTGACCTGAGTAGATTAAAAAATACATTTGAGGCCAAAATCTTCTCAAAATTATTATAAACAATGTCTACAACATCAGGCTGTGTATTAATAACCATTTCATGTAGTAACTTTCTGTGAGGGAGCTTTTAGAGGTGGACGTCTGGTTCCTATCACCACCACTGTGAACAGTTCTGACTCTGTAAGTTTCTCTAGAACGGAGCGTTTCACACCAAACCACTCTGAACGGCTCTGTTTACATCTTAACCACTTAAATATGCAGAGATTTTAAAAAAATCTGTAATTCCTGTTTAAGCTTCCAAAATGGTTTTATTGGGACAAAATGTACATAAATACCCATTACTGTGATTATATATACAAAAACAGACAGAAATCTTAATTGTACTGTGATATTTTTTCTATCCCTGGTTGGAACGTACCATGGTTAGAACATACCATGATAACCATAGGAAAAACACTTTTGCTGTCAGTCTCTGTCTTCTCAAGTCATGAGTTGCTTGCTAGCCAGCTACCTATGAGCTCTGACCTGCCCCCTTGTGGATATAGCTTCATTTTCTAGAGAAAAGGTGCTGCAAACAGAGCTACTGTGTGTGCATCTGCAGTAGCCACCAAAGCTGAGCACTTTTCATACAGGTACAGAGTTGGGTTCTGTCACTGGGACCTGATGGAGGGCTGAAATTGAAGGAGTCCTCTGTTAAATCTCATACAGGCTCCTGAGTTCTGGTGTTGCGTAAGCAGCAGTTCAGTACTGATGCAGAAGACAACCTGCAATAGTACACTAGACTGGGATTGGCTGTGACTAATATTTGTAGAGAATAATAATGTTTTCAGTAGCTTTATGCTGGTGCAGTATTGCAGCGGGTTGAGCAAAATCTGTCACCCCTGCAGATGAACGATAGAAGAGAGTCCACTTTAGATTTACAGCATGTTTTCACTGTCATGGTAGAACAAAAATATACAGCTCTGTGATTTTGTTCAACACTTCTGTTGACAGACAAAAAGTGCAATAACTGCCAGAGTTCAGGTTCAGGAACGGTTGGAGCGGTGGCTGGCGGAGTGGTGGGGCTTCTGCTGTCTTCGGGTGGGATCATCTTCACTCTTATAAAGAAGGGGATAATTAGTAAGTATCGATTATGTCAGTACAAACTGTGTTCAAAGTATAAAGATTAATTATTAAAAATTGACTACCAAAAGGAAAAAATGCCTCCTCAGGCTTCCACCTCAGCACCTTCATCCTTAAAATGAGATGCACAATGATAGGAAGAAGCTCATCACCAGGGAGATGTGTGGTTAAGATCTTGTCATCATGAAAGAAAATCCCAGTGCACCTGTTTATTGTAAATTTATATTGGAGAAAAAAAAAGATCTCGTCATCATAAAACTAACAGTTCAGAAAAGTTCTTAACTAATGTTCAGAACACAGTGGTGAATTTACTTAAATACTTCTTGGTCAGTGTGAAATGAGCTAATGGTCCCTCCTTTTTAGCTGAAGTTAGTATTAAATGTTAAGGTCTGAAATGGCCTTGTTTATTTGATGGTTTATGTAGTGAGGTCAGTCTTTTTCCAAGTTTATCATCGCTTAGCATCAAATATTGTTTTTCCATTATTTTGACTAAACAAAAATATAAACAATAATAAAAATGCAATTCTGAAAACCAAACAGCAGTTAAAGTTCATTTTACATGTACATAATATTTTTTTATTTACCAGGCATTCCAGGCATTCCAGGTGCTGCAGGTGCTGCAGGTTCTGCAGGTTCTGCAGGTGCTGCAGGTGCTGCAGGTGCTGCGAAGACTGCAGCGACTGCTCTGCAAGCCCTGCCAAATGGTCAGTGTCACTGTGATTTTGTTGCGCTGTACAGATCACAGTCATTTTCATTTTCACTATATTGAGAAACATGTTTAATAAAACCACAAAGAAAACTTGACAGTTTTTTACATATAACTTCTTCTTCAGGTGCTACTGAACCACTCTTGACAGCTGGTAAGTTCTATTTGAGTTTCATTCTTACTCAGCAAACTCTACAGTAGAATCACTCTATTAGTACAGCACTGCTGTGACAGCAGCTATGGCTTTACTGTTATATAAGACTGTAATGTTGCCTGTTTTAAAGCTCTTTTTTCTGTATTATTTTCTTGATTTAACTACGTTTCAATAAATTGAGACATTAATAGCTTCTCAAAGGCAAAGCAATGATAGATACATTGCTGGGTTTAAGACATACTAATCACACAATGTAGCTCTTTTTACCTATTTTCATTCATATTTTACTGAACTCTCCTCCAGACCGTAAAGCTAGTGGTGGTTCTGACGCCAGTTCTGACTCTGGTAATGATGTTCCACTTTAAAAACATTTGAGAAAAGCAATATTTGGAAATAATAAATGTTTCTCCACTGTAACTCAGTTGTGATGTGGCCTTATTGTTTCTTTCTCAGGACAGGGAACTGGCTCAACCAATAGCAGCAATGAAAACATTGTGAATGGATCATCTGACTCTGGTAATTTTTCTCATCATAAACGTCTAAAAACTCAAGACGTGCTTTTCTCATGATGGACAGGTACAAAGAAATAACCATGTACAGTCTGAGGGCTTTTCAGTGTACAGGGAGTTTTTACTGTATAGGGAATGTCCTGCAAGTACTGACTGAGAGAGAGACCAGTCCAGCTCTACAGACTGAGCAGCTGAGCAGAGTGACAGCCTGCTGTGTTCAGTGTGAGAGCAGCTTCGGTTTTTGTAGCCCTTTTCTCCAGTAACAAGTTCCAGTACGACAGATAATGCAGTAACGGCTCAGAGAGGCTTAAACCAGAGAAAACAAACATGCTAACGCTTCTGATCAGAAATTCAGCAGTTGCTTGTTGTTAACTGTGGAGCCGAGCGTCTCGCCAGCAGGGTATTCTGAGAATTAATGTAAAAACAGACGCTCTACCCTTTTCCTCCTCTTTGGCAGTGCAGTGCCTTTCCCAGTGCACTGTGCTGATTACGATATAGCACTGCCACTCAGCGTAAGGCCACAGTTACAGTCACAAATGACAGAAATCTGCTTATGATAAGGCAGAGTTTTCCTGGCAGAGTTACGTCGAGACCTGGAGGCAGTGTGAAATTTGATGGAGGCAGCCGCCTCGTGATTCTCTATGCAGGAAAAAATCCTGGACATGTAGGCATAAAAATGATACTCCTCAGCTCTCTACCTACTATAGATTTGTCTGGGTTTAATACAGTACAGTTACAGTAAGATACTGATTGGTGTCCCCATATCTGGTCATTGTGTCCTGTGGTAGCCTGTAGCCAAGATTCCAATACTTTTTATTTATTTATTTTTTTAATGCCTTAAAAATTAATTCATTAAATTTGACTGAACTAATTGGGGGAAATGGAGAACAGTGTAATATAAATAAGTAAATACAATAAATAAATACATTTAAAAATTAATACACTTTCATATATAAGGCCACAGGTGTTGTTAAGCTACTTAAATGGTCTTTAACTTCAGCCCAAACCTTGAACAGATTTTTTATTGCAGTGTCTCTCTTTGTTTTGACCCATCTTGTCCTCTTCTGTTGTTTTGCTGGCAGTGGCCCATGTTCATACAAGTTATGTAAGGTCAAATCTGATTGTAAAATTAGTGCACGCACATTTCACTTTTGTTCCTCATCAGTTTTATCTTTGGCATATCTGTACTATCAGACTCACTGGTAGGAGTGTGTATTAATTTGAGTGTAATAGTTTAACAACCTGAAGTTCGGAGTTAAATATCTGAAACCATTAGCTACATCATCTATAATACCAACAATAGGAAAAAAATAGAAAATAAAAATAATACATAATACATTTAAGCACATGGCAGTCAGGCAGTAAGACAAAATGGAGCCAAATGTCCTTTGATTTCATCATAGTTACATGATACTGAGCCTTCAATATGCTGGTAAACTGAACTTTCTTGTGCTGGTTGTAGTATTTTATGAGCAACACAGCACAACTCTAATTTCTCTTCTAATCGCTCCTATAGCCAACTACGTAGCCTATAGCCTAAACTGAGCACCTACTGGAACTAGACTAAAACATGGTGACTAGGAACATTACGAGAGGACCAAATAAGAAAACAAATTATTTTAGTTTACATTTAAAAAAAATAGTCTGTTAAACTGTTAAATTTGAATCATAGTTATGTTGTTGTATTGTCAGCCTATAAAATGGGTGCTATATACCTGTAAATCCTAAGAAGTTTGAGTCACTCTGGGTACCGCAGCGTCTCGTACAGATGTAAACTTAGCGGGCAGTTCAGTCTACGGCTAAACCACAGCTGTTCTGAGATCTGCACCAGTCACTGCTAATTTGTTTTTCTCATTGCTCTTTCCAGACTGAATCTTCTGAAACTTTGTCCTCATACTAGTTACAAGTATGACGTGCACTGATTACAAACTGAAGACTTGAGGCAATGACTGATAGCAGTAGTTACTAAGCAGCGATTGGAGGGCTGATGAAATTAGGCCGATCTTGGGAGATTTTAATACAGTGACAGCGCTCATTGAAAATGCAGTGTAGTAAATATTCCATCAGTCCAATCCAGTACAAAAGTGAACGCATTTATTTTACATGCACATTAATGCAAACAAATATTCTATGTTCCGAAACACTGCAGTAATACAGTGTTTAAATATGTCATTTTACATAAATATTGACACTACACAATCACATCATCACACTGCATTAATAAATATTTCTCATTTTTTTTCAGCAATTTTAACAATGTAAAGTTTGGTGAATGAGGCTCAAAGTCAGTATGTTCTTAATCTAATGTTTTTTTCTAGGTAATGGGGCAGTGACGACTAATGGAACAGCAAATCACCCCCCTGAAGAATAAATTATTATTACATCCACAGTAATTTTATTAATATAGAAATGAGCTGTAAGTTAGATTGTGCAGGTATCCTGGTTTACATGCTGATCATTACACGCTGTTCATTGTTTTCAAGTTCATGAAGAACCTAAGAAATGTTTAGTCCTGGTTTACTGGAAACAGATTAATTCTAAACTTTGAACCAGTTCGTGCCAGATGTGTTTAGCATTTCAAAATTTTGGTATCTGAAAAACGATCGTCCAACGTTATAAAACATAATACAGTACTTAAGGCTTTCTTTCGAAAATGTAGGTGTAGTTCAGTGTCCTTATTCTTCTCTGCCTTTTCCAGGTAATGGACACGTACACGTGGTTGTCATGAATGGAGCTCCTGCTACTGCTTAATCTGCTGTTTCAACACCTCAGACCAGCAAACTCAACGAGTCAATCAAATGATTTCAGCATTTTACTGTACATTTCAGATATCAAGGCCTTTAGCACTTGAGACGCAATCCTCAGCATACATTTCAGAACTTTTCTGCTGACCACAGTGTAAATGATGTTTAAGTATATTAAACAGAACCACTAGTGAACATGTTAAATTGACAGTAGTCAGACATGTTTACTACCATTGTGATAGCAAATATACATAGGCACATCACAATAGACAGGTCAGGAAACGTGAGTTAAAACAGTCGAACTGCAATGAGAGACGTTTCGATAAAACAAGAACGCCCACATCAGGAACACCCCCTTAACTTTCATTGGCCAATATGTCTGCAAAATGGCTTCTCTCATTGGTGGATACGACTCAGTGGGGAAAATACATCAGTATTTGTAAAGACGTTACTAACACTAAATTAATATTGATCCTACATATTTATTTAATGAACATTTGACTTCGAGATTAAAGTCATAATATTCCAAGTAAAAAAAGTCGCAATATTTCAAAAAAAAGTATTTTTTTGAATAAAATCGTAATTTTTTAGAGGAAAGTCATAATATTTCGATAATAATATTGTGTAATTACGACATTAAAGTGACTTTAATACTATGAAAGGTCGCAATATTATGACCAAAGTGTTTGGAAAAGGAAGGTAACAAGCTCCTCGTGTTAAAATGAGCGGCGGTGAGGAGTTTATTAGAGTTGCACGTTCATATCGATTCACCCATAAAGAAACACTCAGTCTCCCTGTCTCTCCTGCTCATCAGCACCAGCCTGTTACTAATACTAAAAATTATATTTCCTCACTGGACCATTTTTATTGCTGGGATATTGTAGGTGAAGATACCTGGGTGTTGACTGGATTTGAGAAAATGTAGTCATATGTAAGGAAGAGAGTTTGCAAAAACTGGCTTGGTTTAGAGTTTTTATGTGGGAGGTTAAATATTGCAGTGCAGGAGTTTTTCTGTATTGCACTTTTGAAAGTACTTTATGGCTTGTGGCAGTTACTATTTTTATATTTCCAAATAAAGCTTTTATTTCAAACTGTCCACGTGTCTCTGATTAAATAAGATCTAGGATGATAAACGGGGTTCTACAGAGACTGGGTTCCTCATGTTTACACCATTCCATATGTAGTTCTTAGGGATCAGATGAGTTTGTATTTGTGCACTCTGATCAGTATATCAGCAGCATTGTGTACATTTGGTGGGCAGCACCTGCACCACTGTCTCTCAGTACAAAACAAGAAAAAGCTGCTGATACTTTAGGATGTGCATATTGATGCATCACATGAATATGCATGTTAATCAGGTGTATCTTCATAATTTAACTGTTTGAAGTCCTAAAATCCACTACATCAATGTCAGTCTTAACAGCTACAGCTGATACACCACTGAGTGAATGATCCTCAATCCTAGTTCTGGGGTGTCCAGGAAATTCAGGCTTTTCCTGCTCTAACTTCCTTAATTTGAATTCCAGATTAGATCATTAACACAGCTACACAGAACCAGAACTCTACTAAAGGTTCATTCAGAAGATCAGAATAAACATCCTTGATCCAGTACTTGCCACTCATCTGCCACATGCACTGAAACAAGGGATGAACTTTGCTGTTGGCTTTGTAATAAACACCCATCTGCTCTATTCAGTGTAGCTCTTCGGTGGCTCCATCTCTGGAACCTCAGAGCCAAACGCAGATACTTTTCAGTGCTGAAGACGTAATGTTTTGGAAAATCAGCCATGAGCACACTGAGCTATAAACCATTAACACGTTCCTGTGCTTACATTTCTAAAGTTCATCAGCAATGACTGCGTTTATCCTCAGTCATTAGAAACCAAAACAAAAATACAGACACAGAGCAGCAGCACCTTTGCTGGACCAACACCTTGTGCCACCCATGTATCTACTCAGATACTTCCCGATGTTGTGTTTCAGTGATGGTGGTGGAAGTGTTGTGTGACACATTGGTAAAAAACCTCCCATAGCTGTTTAATTTGGTTGAGATCTGGAGACTATGAAGGCCTTAAAATATGATTTACATCATTTTTATACTCATCAAACCACTCAGTGACCCCTCATGCCCTTTGGATGGGGGCTAAAAGATTTACTTTGCCAATGCGGATGTTGGTCTTCACATAATAAAATTCTTAAAAAGATCATCACAGCTTATGGACCTTTAGTCAACGCTGACAAATATGATTAAACATCTTGAGATGGTTTTGGGAAATTGTGCATCAAAGTACAGAAACCAGAAGCTACAACTTTCAAAATACTAATCAATTAGCATACAACCTACTAACATATGACCAATATAAGAATATAGAATGGAAGACAAATAATCTCTGGTCAACTGCATCTGTCACTCCAAAAGATGGTTCTTACAAGGGTTCTTTAATAAAGGAATGGTTCTATGTAGAACCATGAACACTCAAAGAACCCTTTGCATGATTAAAAGGTTCTTTACATGGTGAAGTAGTTCTTCAGATTGACAGAGAATGTGTTGTAGATGGTTCTATATAGCACTTATTCTATATAGCGCTGTGCTGGATGAAGTCCAGAGGAAATCCAGCTTTTCTGCCCTGAAGGTCACCCAGTGTGTGTGTTTATACTGATCTGAGTGATAAGAGGAGATGATGAGGGCGGCTCCGGCAGTCTGTGTGGTTCTCCTGTGTGGTTCTGCTGTGTGGAGTGTTTGTCTCTGCTCTCAGAGGAGGTGAGTCAGTTCAGCTCGGACGGGCTATTTTACCGCGTCACTAACGAAACCGAAAGTAAAGTGTGTTATTAACAACAGGACCGTTAACGGGACTAAATGCGCAGAGTCAATTACGGTTAACAATAAAATATATTCAAATATATTTCAAATCATCATTCTTTGCTTATTTCTCTTGTATTTAATAACTCAGCGTTTAAACTTCACGCTCAGAAACGTGATACCTCAACTGTCCCAAATCAAGAACAAGACATTTTCATCTATTTAGCTGTTTATAACATTAATATAATATAACATAACAATACCTGATTAGCTATTTTAGTTTCCTTTCCCTTCAGAATCTGGATTAGAGTTAGATAAACTGTGTTAATCCTAACTGGGTCTCTCACAGACCTGGAAACATGAGAAAGAAGACAGAGCTGCTGAGTAACGGTCAATAAGTAGGGCTGGGCAATATAGCAAAAATATTACATCACGATACTTGAAGACATTTTTACGATACACGATACGCATCACAATATTTTACTTTTCTGAGATTTAATCATTTGGAAAAGACAAAATAGAACCTGTAGTGCCACATGTAAAATACTACTACTACTACTACTATAATAATAATAATAATAATAATAATAATAATACAACTACAAATAACAGTTCTCAAATATCAGTGAATACATTTACTCACCATATCATAGTCTGTTTTTATTCTCCTCATTCAGTAATGCTACTTCTTTTACATAGTGCAGCTTTAACAAAAATCCCCCTTAATGAAACAAACTACATTCCACTACTGTTAATGATAAACATACAGTTTAGAAGCTTAAAAGCATCAAAGAACAGATTTAGTTCCTCCAGTTTAGTACAGTGGATCTTTTAAGCAAAAGCTCAACAAAAATGGAAGCATTTTATAAAAATGCATATAAAAATGCAGACGTTTATGTGTACTTTCTTTCTGTTAAGTTTTTTTAAGCACAAGTTCACAGAAGATACATTTTATACATTTGATTTATAAACAGAAAATTATTACTTCCATTCAAGCTTTTTTATGAATCCCTTGTCAGCGCTGTCTGAGTAAAATACACACACATTTTCTAAAGCACTTTTCCTTCTGGGTCATAGGGGGAGTTGCATCCTATCCCAGCAGTCATTAGGCAGAAGGCAGGATACACCCTGGACAGGATGCCTGAGTAAAACATGTCATTTTTATTAAGCTCATAAGAACATATTCGTAGGTGGCTTTGCAGACTTTCTCTCTTATATATTTGGGCTTTTAATTGATTTATTTAGCATCTGTTTCAATCATGAATAGATTTAGTGTTAAACTACTTGTTATATAAAGTCACAAGTGCACCATTAAAAAATACTGCATTTAAGCATAAAGCAAATCATGATCACATATAGTGTTTAAACTCAAGACTGTAAAGGGCTTGTAAATGTAACAGTACTCAGGAATGTTAAATGGTCTGTGTTCAGTATGGACTCTTTACAGAGACACTGTGTCTGTATAGTAACAGTCTTGTGTTTATCACCACTGTACAGTGCAGGAAGCTGTTATCTAGAACTGTTAAATCAGCAGATTACAATGGTAAACAGTGAATACAGTTTGCATAGGAAGACTGTCGCTATACTGGGTGATCTTAGCCGTCCATTTCATAAAGTACTTGAGTCTCTCTCATCTGGACGACCTTTTAGAGCAGCAGCAGAAAAAAATAGTCTCCATAAAACATCCTAACTGAATGAAACTAGATGGGTTTATTAAGTAGGCTTTGATACAATTCACTCTGTATGATTTATTAACTCTGAGTTAATACATAATACAGAATATTATGTCCAACCAAGACATTTTTCAGTGGACTATTCTATTTTCTATTGGACTATTCTATTCTATTCTATTCTATTCTATTCTATTCCAGTTTAAGACCTGAAAGAGAACTCAGTTTTGATTTAAATTTACTTTATTGCAATAAAACCGTTAAAACTGTTGTTCTAAACTATTTTTTATGCATTATGCTTTATATTCTGTTTTTATAGATGTCTGTGTTCTTTAAATGCAGTATGTTTACTGTATAACAAATATGATGATGCAGCTGCACTTTTTTTTTAGCTTAGCTGTAGCTAAGAATTTAATCTGAGTTTAAATCTGAATTTATGAGGGCTCTTAAACTGCACTGCTGTCTGTGGAAGCTGCAGTTTAAAGCGCACCTGCATTTTAAACCAATTGCTGTCATTTAAGAATCACACGTCTGCCACCAGTTAGCAAGCAAGCAAGTAAAGTTTATTTATATGGCGCTTCTTACAAAAGGTGTTGTCACAAAGCAGCTTTATAGAAAAATCAGCATTACAGAAAAATCCGGGTCTGAGCCCCCACGAGCGTCTCCAGTGGCAACACTAGCAAAGAAAAACTCCCTAAGAACAAGAGGAAGAAACCTTGAGAGGAACCAAGACTCAGAAGGGCAACCCATCCTCCTCTGTTCGACACCGGATAGCAAACATTGTTAGACTGTTTGCCACCTACTAGTTGCTTGGGTTCCGTTAAGGTGGCAGGACAGACAGCTGTGTGTGTTCCCGTGAGTTTGGCCAAACTAGTCGAAGAGGTTGGCAATCAACATTGCATCATCACTGCATTCGGGGTTGCTTGAGCCAGTGAACAGCAGGCTGCCACTAGGTATTTCACTGTCCAGTACAGTACTGTCTCTCCTTTAATAGAGGACAGGTTTATGTGCCAGTTGTTAATGTTGAGACCAGAGATGTGTGGCTTCCTCCTTGCACTGTGTTGGGAGCCCTATTTTGTATAGAACTTCAAATAACTAGTCAAGTGGTTATATTTGAGGAGAGGGTAGAAAGTCAAAGGTGTGTTGCAGTCTTCCAGTCATTACATACAGAAGACTGATTACTGGATCAGGTACAGAAGGGTAAGGGTTTGCTTCAGCAGTATAGTGGAGTTTTTAGTCAGAGTGAGGGTGACTTGGGGTGTACAGACCTAATACACCATAAGATCCCTTAGATTGATGACACCCCCTTTCCTCAGTATTACTGCCGCCTTCCACCCTCACAGTATGAAGAGGTCAAAGCACACATTCAAGAGCTACTAGAAAAACAAGTTGTGTGGGTGCGCTGTAGTCCCTATTCCTCATAAATCATTATGGTGCAGAGGAAAGATGGCACCATAAACACAAAGACAAAGAAGGATACATACCCCTAACCACAGATTGAGGAATCACTGAATGCATTGGCGGGGGCCAGGTTGTTTTCCACTCTTGACTTGACCAGTGGGTATAGCCAAGTTCCTATGGCAGAGGAGGACAAGCAAAAGACTGCTTTTCTTTATTTGAGTTCAG